AGTGACACAGTGTTACTCCAGGAGGGAGGGAGGAGGCTCATTTACCCCCTGCTGACATACACATGCCACATTGTTTTATTTAGTTTGTATGTGTGTCCTTGGCTTGTTTTGATACCATGTCAGCCATGGAGATTCCTACAATGGTCAGAGCAGAAACACCACCTCATTACAAGTTTAGCAATGCAAGAATCACTATGTTGTCCCCCAACTGGGCTACATCTAGACACTATTAAGCAGAAGTGTGCCTGCCTGTGTTCGAATGGGTTGACCACCTGTATGCAGATGAATGGATGTGAATAGGGGGACATGCCTTTGTGGTGCCAGAGATGGAGCAGCTTGGCGGAGTGTGCCGCTATGAGCCAGAGGGGGCGAGGGCCCACGGGAGGCCAGGGATAAAGGGACAGAGGGCAGCAGGGTGACAAGCTGTCCACGTGTAGATGAAACAATGCCAAGTGTTAACAAGCCTAAGCTAGCGGTAATGACAGAGGCTGGGTGAACAAAAGGCAACCATTTGAAATGCAATATGTGATCAACTAGAGTCAATGAGGAGCATATTACGGTGATTTAGCCCCTTTAAGGCTCTTTATACCCTTTTCAATAGTTGATCTTCCAGATGACCTTTTTTTTCAATAACAACTAAGGCTATTCTCTGAGGGAGTGGCTCAGAAGGATGGGCACCAATTGCACATCAGCAGCTGAGGCAAAGGCAGAGGCTCCAGGGCACGACGAGTGATCACGTGATAAGTCAGGACAAAAAAAGAGGCAGAAATGTATTCAACGGGATAACATCTCCTGCTTTCCACTGCAGCAACAATGAAGACAGCAGCGGGGATCAGAGCACTCCTACACAACCTAAAACTTTAATAAAAGCCTGTGCAAGCACATACATGTGTATATGTTCATATAACTGCCTTAAGCACTAAGCTGTTTCTCTACCATCCCTGTTTGGTTCTTGTTATGTTTCGGTGTGGCTGACGCCCATGTGTTTCCATGAGCCTCTCATCTATAACACCCTACTTTTAAAGTTTCACTCCAACTCGTGGTTTGATTTACTCTCTCGTCTCTATTAAACACTCCTGCTATATATCTCTGTGTGTTTCAGAAAAACTTCAAATTTCGAGACAGCGATCCCTGACCAACTCTGATCCCTGCCTGAGGCCAACAGGATGAGTGGAGAGGAAGAAGTGAAGGAAAGAAGCAAGACTGAGAATTTAATAGACTGAGGGGACTCCTTTTTTCTAAATAGCTGTCTCCCACATATCCTTAACCCTTTTTTCTTACCGTGCTGATACTTTCTTTTCCCTCTGACACCATCTGTTTTTGTTTTCATGTATCTTTTCACTCCCCACAACTCATCTATATCTGAAAGAAAAGTATTTGCCAAGGTTGAGAGAGTAGGAAAGAAAGAAATCAGGTATTGCCAGGTACAGGTAACGCTACACACTCTGTTTTTTCTACTTACTTACGCAAGTTATATAATTGTGGGATTTCCATAGCATGTTGAACAACTCATGCCAGAAACTGTGACGCCTGGACACGTAATACCTAGGAAATAAACAATGCAATTCCTCTTTGCTGAGAAGTGTATAGCTGTCAGGTCTTCCCCAGACTTCCTTTAATCCACTTTTAGAGCTGTCGAGCTAACACTTTTCTTCTGTGAGTTTCTTTTTTTAGCCATCAAGTTTCTCTGCTTTACTGTCATCCGCAGAAGCCCCGGTCTTCCCTATCTGTATCTATGGGCTGTGGGAGGATTAAGTCTCAAACTGAGAGTCGATCATAGTTTCTATAGCTACAACACCATCATAAGTGCCAGCAGAGAAGACCTAAATGTTTGTTTGCGTGTGTGTACATGTATAGTATGAGGGATCCCTGCCACCTGACGCTTGGCTGCAGCAGCAGAGAGGAGGTGTATTTGTGGGTTGTGAATTTCTAAATGTGTGTTTCTGTCTTGTAACAGGGCTGGTTATGTATCATGAGAGGAGCCCATGTTAGACCCGCGGAAGTCTGCTGGCAACGAGAGCAACTGACAGTGACTCCTAGTATGTTGTGTCGGCCTCTGAGTGGGAACCGGGGTTCCTGTTGCTGGTAGTCTGAAGGCCGTGAATCACTCGCTAGTTTTGGAGCTGCTGTAACAGTATTTGCATTTCAGTCATTCCTTAGAGGAAATCAATACTTATGTTTAAAGCAGTTTCTGGTGTCAGTAGAGCTAAGTGAAAGAAGGTGGGCTTACAGGAATAGCTACTTGTTTATATGAAATCACCAATAGGTTTTAAATAAGGAAAATGTATTGGTAGCTAGGCTTGTTCACATTATTCTTGATCACGCATCACTTCCTCACCCCTCTTCCTCCTCATTTCCCGTCATTTTTTGGCGAGACATTATTGAACGGAAAAGCACCCTCAGCCGTGATTTACCCCCACTGCCTACGGGGTCTGTGTGAGTGTGTGAGTGTGTGTGTGTGTCTGAGTGTGTGTGATCCTCTCAGAGTGCCAGGACGTGTGTCTGCTTGCCCAGCGAAGCCTAGGGACAGTTAGACACTCAGCTTTTCTGAACACACTCACACACACACTCACACACAATGCTGTTACTATGCAGCTATGAACCAGCTAACCGAGGCTGGGGTCCATCCCTGCCCCAGGGAAGCCCTCTCCTGCTGGGGCCTCAATCCCGCTGACACCCTGTGGTCTGGACTTTATCCACACCATCTGTGAGGTTGTTTTCTAAACGTACCTGTCTGGGGACACGGCTAAGCAGAGAGCAGAAGATTAGATTGGCTGATAAGAGGGTAATCATTATTTATTATCTTGCAAAATGTAATTAGCACTCCAGCGGGCCTACACAACAACAGCCTGCAAGAACGCACGTCTCTTTGCAGAAGATTCTCAAATGAACACTGGGACACATTTCTTGTTAGTATATCATATGTTCAAGTTATGTCATACAGAAGAAAGTGCAGCCACATATTTACAGCTCGGTTCCAAAGTCCATGTCAACAAACAGTTTTTAACAATGCATTTTATTGCAATGAAAAAAGTAGTTGACAAACTTGTATTACAACCATAGATTACAACACACAATAACAAGTTAACAACTCAATACAAAACATTTGCAACATACAGTGGGTCACAACATAATGCAACACAGCTAATTAGCAAAGTGTTGCATTGTTACAACATGAACAAAACAATAACAACAAGAAAATACACCACCATAACACAGTGGCTGTCGAAAATCACTTTAATCAATTTTTAAGTAATTCTTTTTAAATGTAAAACGTATTTCCATGTTTTTAAATGAATCCTTCTACCTCACTACATTTCAGAGGTGAATACTGTACTTTGTACTCCACTACACAAAAGCAAGTTACTACTAAGTTACATTTCAAATGTTAGTTTGAACACTGTATGTTTTTGATTGCTGGACATTGACTAGTAAAAGACTATATTTATAATGAAGAAAATGTGTTTTACTTGATCTAAATAATGCATTTGAAATATATTCTGTGATCACTCACCTCTGCAAATTGTATTTTTTTTAAATGTCCTTATTGTATGGTAGCCTTTAATAAATCAAATGTGTTCATCACTCGGTGCTTATTAAGTCTCTCAAAAATCTATTCCATATACTGTAGAGATAAGCCTATTGTTTTTTAATCTATTAACATTTTCACTTGTTTTGTTCATAATGTCTTATCCTATCAGCCCAATATGACACAGTGGCTTACATTTATTTGTTATTCTTCTAAGATGTTAATATTATAATCCTAGTGGAGTTGTTTTTGTGTTTTTTATGTTCCTGCTGTAGAGTAGGAGCAGCTGGAGGAGCGTCTCCAGTGGCTGCTGTAGGCTGGGCATTCAGATTTTGTCTTAATGCTATTGGCTGGCACTATATCGGGGGGTGGAGTGTATGCTCCACAAAACAGACAAGTTGCGCTTATGTGAACCACTGAAGAGTTCCGACAGTATTTGGTGAACTGCATCACTTGATCTGCCTTCATTGCTACTAGAGGACTTTCAATCCGTTGTTGTTGTTGTTTTTCGGTGCGCGTATTTACGCATTCAAAACTTCAATAACAGAAGCGTTTTTTTCAATTATCGCTTATTTAGTTTCACTCAAGCGTCCTTTGGACAGGAGATATGGAGTTGGTGTATCTGATGTGTTTGGCGCTGAGCATCGGTGCTTGGTTCGCTTGTGCAGAGAGGCACAGCGTCTACTGGAACGGCTCGAACCCAAAGTAAGTGCTGATCTGTGATTGTGTGCGCTATATGGCTATATGTCGTGTGCGAGTGATATGTATGTGGCTCAAGTTGTATGTAGTTCAGTCTCAGTCTCACTGCTCTGTCTGTGTGAGTGTGTGTATTTCCCGATGTTTCAAGTGATCTAATTTATCTTATTTGACATGTCATGTGAAGCTTCTATATTGTAGACATTGTGTCATTAAGGCCCGGAGGCTGTTTACATTCTCTAAAGGCTACAACTGGCAACGCTTGTTGTTGTTTTCATTCAGGTGACAATTAAAGGTGCGTGAGACGGTTAAGGTGTGAGGTCTACCTTTTTAACTCGCCTAACAGGATTATGCTCAGACTGTAGCAGCGGGGTTTAAAAGCAGAAGACTGTGAGCAGGATGCCAAGACAGATGGACAGATTCTCCACTATATTTAACCGCAACACATACACAGACATGTACTCCAATAGTAGAAAATAGCCTGACGAGTATGAACTTGGCCACTGAGGCTGTCTGTAGGGTCTGCAGCTGTGTGTGTGTGTGTGTGTGTGTGTGTGTGTGTGTGTGTGTGTGTGTGTGTGTGTGTGTGTGTGTGTGTGTGTGTGTGTGTGTGTGTGTGTGTGTGTGTGTGTGTGTGTGTGTGTGTGTGTGTGTGTGTGTGTGTGTGTGTGTGTGTGTGTGTGTGTGTGTGTGTGTGTGTGTGTGTGTGTGGTGTGTGTGTGTGTGTGTGTGTGTGTGTGTGTGTGTGTGTGTGTGTGTGTGTGAGAGTGTGTGTGTGTGTCATGGAACGTTTATAATTGAAAAGTAATCAGTAGGTTAATATCATCAGTTTTATAAATATACCACATCAAGACTCTGCCGTATGATAGTGATATGGGAAGGTAGTGAATATGTTTAGTGTGTGTGTGTGTCAGAGTGAGAGGCAGATATTGCTGATTACTTTGTTTTGAGGTCAGAAATGTAATGCTATCCTACCACTCAGTGGGATCGATGGAGCTTGACAGACGCGCAATATCGCAGTGCGATTTATTGAGCTTTTAGCGTGGAGCGAGTGATCCCCCCCACGCTTGAAATACAGTATTATTTTATAACTGAGCTGAAACAGAAGGACGGTCCCCGGCCGATCCTCTGCTCCCGAGATAGGTCGATTAAAACCCGCCACCGAGACTAAACAAGGGCAAAAGCCATTATGGCCTTTTAGCCTTTGTCTTGATTACATTACTGGCTCAGGCTCTCTAATTGCCCTTTAAGAATGACAATAGACGCGGGGCTAAAAAAAAATAGCCCCTGCTGCAACAAGGAAAACAATTGTCCTGATAATTGGATAAGAGGAGTCTAATGGAAAGTCCTGTCGTCAGAGCAGTGCTTGTGTCATGGGTTAGTCCATGTGTGACTCACAGGCTGGGTTTGGACCCACCTGAGTTTTACACCTGAGTCACCACACACAGAAGCAAAGAACTCTGGTTCAGGTGAGACAGAAAGAAAAGGTAGAAAAGAAATGTGAAACCAGAGGCTCTTTGGTCTGGAGAGAGAGGAAACTGGAGCTTCAAGTTTTAGTTCAAATAAGAAAGGATAATGAAGACAAAAAGAGGGCAGATATGGAGACCCGGGTGGTCCGCCATCTCTAATCCATCCCTGAACTATTTATGAGAGTTGTATAACGAAAAATCATAAGTCTAATCTCTTTTGTCTAAACATAGACCCTGACACAGACAGATATAAACTTCACATTCAACAATTGAGACTCATCACAAATGTCTGCTTGTACAGTTGAACTAAGACCTTTCACTTTCCCCAATGCTCACTCAAGAGGATAATGACATATAAGCCTAAATGAAACTATAATCGGCTGACCCCTACATGCCACTTGTATTATATGTTATGACATAGTACAGTCTAATCTCCACAACTCTAATCCCTCATTCCCCTCATTAACCTCCCCCTTAACATTACCTCTCACTTCTGTCTCTTGTCCCCTCTTTTTCCATCATCTCCCTTTATCTTCTGGACTCCTGCTTTCTAGCTAAAAGCCCACCTGCCCCAAATCGTTCCCCAGTGATCAATCAGTCACCTGTTCGAAAGGATCATGTTGATCCATCAGCAGGGCTTAGACGGCACCGGGCCGTGGATAATTGATGCTACTTGATTCTAGTGATTGAGAAGCTGTGATTTGTCTTAGTAGGAGGACAGTGACCAGATGGCTGCATTCTGCCCATTCATGTAGTTGAATATAGAGACGTGAAGTACACTGACAGCAGCTGAGGAGTGTGTTTGTGTGTGTAGGGGTGTGTTTGATTTTCACTAACTTGTCAGTACAGTTTAATGTAATCCTATACTTCAAGTCTTATAGGGATTTCATACGAGTGCGTGTGCAGATTTCCTATAGCTGACAGGTGGAAAGCATGTTTTTCTCAGTCTGGTCCAATCTTGTTTTTAGACTACATGTCTCTTCCTGTGTGTGTGTGTGTGTGTGTGTGTGTGTCAGTGTGTGTGTGTGTCAGTGTGACTTGTTGAACTTGTGCTGCCCTTTGCCAGCCTTTAGCGGGAAGTGATTTTGTTTTTGTTTTGGAGAGTACGTGATTATTAGTGTGTCTCCTAGTGAGTGTGTGCTTGCTCCAACGTCAGAGTAAAATAAGGAGTGGCCGTACCCGTAAGCAGCCTAACCGAGACACGATAAAGGTGTGACTCACACTTACACACTCTGGGGGGCAAGAGAGGGAGAACTTGTGTGTTAATATTAGCTACAGCCAGCATTCCTCCCTGCTGTTACTATACTAATCTCAGCTGTGTGTGTGTGTGTGTGTGTGTGTGTGTGTGTGTGTGTGTGTGTGTGTGTGTGTGTGTGTGTGTGTGTGTGTGTGTGTGTGTGTGTGTGTGTGTGTGTGTGTGTGTGTGTGTGTGTGTGTGTGTGTGGTGTGTGTGTGTGTGTGTGTGTGTGTGTGTGTGTGTGTGTGTGTGTGTGTGTGTGTGTGTGTGTGTGTGTGTGTGTGTGTGTGTGTGTGTGTGTGTGTGTGTGTGTGTGTGTGTGTGTGTGTGTGTGTGTGTGTGTGTGTGTGTGCTCGCTGTACGTGTCTCTTCCTCTCCCCATCTTCACTCCTTTTACTCACTTAGCTGGGACTCCTCCCAGAGTGGCCGCTGGCCCGGAGCCCTCCATCTCTTTTTTTCTACTTACTGATTCAAGTGCATTTAATATCTCCAGTTTTCAGCACAGATGTGAAAGCACAGCCTCCTTTATTACCGTTATCTCCGTGTTATTTGGCGTCTTTCATCCATCTAGAGTGGCCCGGGTTTATTTCCCATGCTCCCTGGTATCCGTGCAAATATCTTTATCAGGAGTTTGGTGTAATGTAATATTCTGTTTATCTCCCTCTATGTCTGGCTCTGTCTGCTTCACTGTTATTGAAGCAGCCGGGCCTGCCTCGACACGTAGATTTGGCCTGGAGGATGACTCCAGCCCCCCCCCCCCCCTTTAACTCCCTTTAACTTGTACATTTTATACATTTTGTTCCCTCTATCTGTCTCCCGTTTCAATCATTATTTACCCCTCCCCACCCCACGTCCCGTCTGGTTCTTGGCCTCTAATCTCACCAGACTGAGAGCATATACACACACACACACACACACACACACACACACACACACACACACACACACACACACACACACACACACACACACACACACACACACACACTCCCATACACATAGACACACTTACATAGAGTACAGATGACTTGTAATCTGACCATCTGACCCATAGACACAAAACCATCATCCTGCTGGCTATATTCTATACATATATATATGCCCATGTGATCCTGGGATGTAACTTTTGTCATTTTCGTTAAGCTTTATCCACTATAGTCTGTGTATGTGGGTCAGTGGTTTATTGTGTAATCATTACAATATATATATACATTCCTTAATAAACCTGGAGATGTCATAATGAATAATTCACTCCATAATCTCCCTGATGGGATGCGTCCTTCATCAGAACAATCAATTACAAGCACTATTGGACATTTCATTTAGCCTGCTGTGCATACTTTACATTTAATATCAGAAGGATTTGTGTGATTTCCCTACTGACATAACTGTCCTCTTTCCATACATGCTTATAGAACATACATACTTTCATGCATCATCACACCCAGCACCAGCTGGCTAAATAAAGCAAACTACATTATATATTTCATATATGTGTCCCAGGTCTTTGGGCATTCTCATTCCCGGTCACAGTATCCTTGCACCTCTGTTTTTCTCTCTGCTCTTCCTCTCGCTTCCTTATCTGTGGTCCAGACTTCCTCCCAGTCCCCCCCATTCTCACAGGCCTTCCTCTGTTTTGGCCCCAGTAGTTTTCCACCAGAGGAAGACAGAGCACCTCTGAGCTTTGGCTCTGCTAACATTAGAGAGGCCTACTCCTGCCTAGCACTATCATAGTATGTGTGGGCAAGCATGCGTGTGCGTGCTATGTGTACACTGCTCATTCATAGCATTTCAGGCATACCGGGGCACTGTTGTCCACTCGTAACCCACGGTCGCCCTCTAAGGGCAGAATTGGCTAAATATTTCTCACAGATGGACTCCTGCTCAAGTATTTCGAGGACGTTCTGCCTCAGTTAATTAACACTTTTTTTCAAATATGACAAGTTAAATATTTCATTTTAGAAGAAGTTACTGAACTTTTTCCCTCTCTCTCAGCTAATCAAGACAGACAGAGGAACACAGATTAACTCTCAATGACCCCAAAACATATGAAACCAAGCATGATAGCATTTGGCCTTCCTCTATTCATCGCAGACAGAATAGGAGGCTACAATAACGGAGACAGGGTGAAAGGATTTTGCGGGCAGAGAGGAGGAGGAGTTGAGGCCGGGGTGCAGGGTGAAAGAAGGGTGAACTAGAGAAAGGGATTTGTGTTGAGAAATTAGCCTGGATGAAGAGCGTTGGTATATTATGTCAGCATTAACAGACAAGAGAAAAATAGAGGATAGGCAGAGGGGGGATGGGCTGATTTTAGAAGAATAAAGGAGAGGCAGACGGAGGGAGGAGAGAGGGGACAGTGATGGATGAAGGGAGGGGAGACGTTTTGAATTGAATAATGGAGAAACGGCTGGACTGACCATTTTAAATGCTCATCTCAAGGGCCAAAAGGACTCTCAGTATTTTAACTATAGTGCATAATAACAACACACAGATTAGCATGTAGTTACTACAGTGAAGCTGAGTAGGGACAGCCAATGGTATTGGTGCCTAGTAGAGGAAGAGTTGTCTTCTTATTGCAAGACAATGAGACAGAGGAAGAATGAGGCTCTATTACATTGGAAGCTAATCTAGAAAGATTTAACAGTGTATATTAGATTGGCTCAGTAATGGAGTATCCCACTAGTGAGCAGCTAAACCCATTAGAACCACTGACAGCTCCTCTGCCTGTGTGGAAGGAGGTGTGAAGCTGCTATACCACAGCAAATTAATAGGGTATTAAGTGTACACGTCAAAGTAAAAGTGTGTGAGAGTGTGACTGGAAATTTGATGAGCGCGCCTTGTGAGAACATAGTAAACCTTCCAAACCGCAGCCCTCCCCCCCACAGATCTAACATTCCAGTGTGTGCACACTTACTACTTGATTACCTGCAAAGCAAATGGAGGGGGATGCATCTGTTTAGTGTTTGACGGTGCTGACTTGCTCAGTGTGTGAAACGAATATCTTCAGCGCTGACTCAGATGTTAGCGTGTGTGAGAAGTTGCGACCCTGAACTCTAACCCCTCGACCCAGCTGACAGTTTGAAATGCTCCCTAGAGAGAACGTTGAAAGACAGAGTTACTGTGTCAGTTGTTTGACCGCAACCAGTGAGAGTCAGGCGACAAACAGCGGGACAACAGGGAAAGAGGAATGGCAGAAAGAAAATGAAAGAGGTGGTAGAGCTGTGCAAGGACAATAGCAGGACTTCAAAGCCTAAGTGAGAAGGCCGAGTGTTGAAGAGCTCACCTACTGTCATAACCCATTTTATAACCTTAAACTCACACACACACACATACACACAACTTGCCCGCTGACGTAAAAGCAAGAGTAGCTCCGTAGTGAGAAATGACCTCTTTGCCGCAGAGAGGAAGAACGGCTACAGCCACCTTCAACCCTTGCTGTGTACCCACACCTCAGTCACATGCAAGAAAACTCACACACACACTTCAACACACAAGAGGCTTCAGTAGGCCTTGATAAACAGATGTGCTCATGAGCCCGGAGCATGAGACGCCCTGAATAAGGGTCTTCAGAGAATCCCTCTCCCATGAAAACACTCACATACACACAAACAAACTAACACACGGGAAGTAGACCCTGTGTGGAAAGGAGGTTTGCAACATCTCACACACCTGGCTCTCACTCTCACACACGACATAGCTATCACGTTAACGCGACTCTCACTCTCCCGAGAACTGTCAGTCAGAGGCGAGAGAAAACGCAGAGGGATACGAGAGTCTCCGAGAGTGGAGAGCTTTGATGAGTGAAACGTAAAGTAGAGAGAGCGAGGCGGATGGAGTGAGACAAAGGTTTACTTTGCAATTCTGGCCCTGAGCTTTTTCCAGTTACTTGATTTGTTGCGAGATAAAGATAACAGAATCCCAGGGGGGAAAAGGATTGTTCAAGCATTAACAAAACTGGACATCACAAACATTAAAACAACTGCAATACACTGGTAGTCATATGAGCACACATATAACACATCCACAGCAGTCAGGGTAGTGAAAGCTCCACATGGGGTAAGGTAGGGGTTGAAAGGGCCCTGCAGCCTTCAGGCAATCTGTCTTTGGGGAGGGAAAGGGTATAATTACACCCCATTCATTCCCCCTCCCCTCCTTTTCAAGAGAACACGTTGGCCCCAGACCCCTAACAGCTTTTAATTAGCCAGACCAATGGTGGAGTGCAGGAGGAGGGGGGCAAATGAGGAGGTGAAGAGAAGGATAAAAGGAGAGTTTTCCTAAAAGCATGAGTTGTGAATGAAATTAGCAACAGAGACTGTTTTTGTTGGCTTTTGACAAGCCTGTGTTTCCAAGCGGAGGTAGGCCAGGACGCAGTGTGGGAAAAAAGGTGTATCCTATACAATTTGAAACTACTCTTTACTTCAGAGGAAACAACTAGAGATCTCCAAGTACCTTGTTTTCTTTTACTCTGTTATTACTGCTCCTTCTCAAAAGAAAACAGAGCAGAGAGGAACAAGACGAGAGATCTTTTTTGCCAATTAGGCTGCTACAGACTATGTCTGTTTTTTTCTTTCACTAAAACATGTGCACTTGCAAATACACACAAACAAAGGCGTGCACACCTACACAGGAGTGTACACGCATACAAAGAACCTTTTCTATGCGAGAGCAGTGATTGCAAGTGGAGGCTGATCAGCCTGTTAGCCCTGGATAACAAGTGTAGAGCTGTGCTCAGGGAACAAAGCATGTTTTGACAGGTATAGGTTAGCTCTAACGACACACACAGCGGCAGGAAGGAGGGGTTAGAGGCCCACGATTGGAGCCAGTTTGTCTGTGACTTGACCAGGGGGTCCTAACAAGAGCCACAACAACAGGACAAGGGGGGCTGGGGACACCGTGTCCCTGGCTTTGATGCCGGGGCACACACACTTACAGCACACATAAACAATTGCAGACATACAGGAGCTGTTTTCATGTCACTTTCAATCTCCACAACGCGCTAAACACAAGCATCTACAAGCAGTCATTCAACATACAGGTTCATATGTGGCCCCAAAAAATCAGTTCATCACTGATTCATAGCTAATTAATATCAAAGAGTTCCATTTTAGTGAGGGGGAAAATGTAACAACTCGTGTTTTGTATGAACATTGTCACTGCAAATATGCAGTGCTGCATTTCTAGTAATTGCTCATCTTTCCTCTAAACTTCATTAGGACCGCAAACAAGCATAGGAAGTGAGCAAAGAGGAGCCGGGGAGTCTTGAAAAGAGCCATAAAACTAAATGAAGGGTGAAGATGAAAAGGGAGAAAGAAAGCGACAGTCTGACGGTCTCCACCCACTCTGTCTCTGTCTTTAATGAAATCCCAGAGAAATAAGAGACAGATCTTCAGATGGAGACAGCTAATTAGTGTCAGGCTTCACAACAGGAGCTTTGACACGTTAATGGACAGACACCCAGGTGGACAATTTAGTGAGACAGACACCCAGGTGGACAATTTAGTGAGACAGACACCCAGGTGGACAACTTAGTGAGACAGAAGCAGTTGAAAAAGACTTGATGGAAAAATACACTGGGTTGTATAAGATAGAAAAGTGGAAATGCAAGAGAATGGGAGAATCTTGTCCTTACAAGTGAGAAGTGAATATCTGCTGAAGGCAAAACAGGGGGAAGAGAGCATGAAGGTGTGTGAGATTCTAGCATTTTTTCTCGTTCGTAAAAAGTGAACAAGTCCGACCTGATCCGCCTTTGCACAAGTACAGCACAAACACCCTCACATGGTACCTGACCTACACCCTAGTAGCTGTGACTGTGTGTGAAAGTGTGTTATCGCGTGAGTAAGCCTGTTTGCTGTTGCTGCGCGTGCAAATGTGTGATTAGCCCTCATTGTTACTCTTAAAGTGGTGTTGTATGAGCCATGCTGTAAGGGTGTGTTTAGAAAATTAACAAAATCCCAACAGATAATATTTGTCTCTGTTTTTTTGGTAACTGAAAACATTCCCTGCTCGATTAATACATTTGTGAGTAACCTCCTCCTTTCTTTTTGTCTCCCTTCAGCTTCCTGTGGGATGAGTACACAGTGGAAGTGCGTATTAACGACTATCTGGACATCATCTGCCCCCACTACACCCACGGTGAGGTGTCATCGCATGCAGCTGAGCGCTACGTTCTGTACATGGTGGAGAAGGAAGACTACGAGGTGTGCAAGCCTCACTCCTTTGACCAGCTGCGTTGGGAGTGCTCACGGCCGTTCGCTCCCCATGCCCCCGAGAAATTCTCAGAGAAATTCCAGCGTTTTACCCCCTTTACCCTGGGCAAGGAATTCAGACAGGGAGAAAGCTATTATTATATCTGTAAGTATAATTAATAAAACATTTTCATCAACTTATTGTGATCCTCAGAAGGTATCTTGTACTAAAACTGTCCCCTCTTCCTTATTTTCCACAGCCAAGCCAATGCATCACCATGGCCAGGATTGTCTAAGGCTGAAAGTGGATGTTGCCGGGAATAGCGGCTCTGCAAAGACCAATGTAGAAAAATCCAAGGCAGAAAATACAGGAAAGAGCTCAGATGGAGGCAAAGGGAAGTTACCCTCTGGAGGAGTTCACAACCCTTCTAACCGGCTCCCAGCAGGTGAGGATCGTTCAAACAAAAAATACCAGACAGATGCAACATAGTCACAGCAGTCCCATGTCTGAGCAGCTCAGCTGGGGGTGTTTTACATGCCTGATTGATGAAATCCAATACTGACTCTGCCTCCCTTTTCTTTTCTCAGATGACCCTGCTGCGATGGAGCCAAAAGTACAGAGGAGCGTCGGCAGTTCACAAGCAAAGCTGGTCTCCTTTTCCCTCGTCTTTACCCTGCTCCCAGCCCTGTTAGCCCTGATGCTACACTAAGACTGAGCAGGATGCTGAAACAGAGACAATGTCAACTCAATGCCGGTCATTGGGACCATGAATGAACACAGATTTTTTTATACAGATTTTTTATACGAGCATGGACAGTGCTGTGAGTGTGCGTTTGCGTGTTTATTTGTGTGAATGTGGAACGTGGATCGTTCCAAAGAAGAGGACCTTTTTTATTAGCTTATAACGAGGATGGAAATTCTCCTTTATGATCGTTTAAGATGCACTCTTTTTTTAAAGTCATTACGAACAAAACTTCAAGCAAACCGATAAAATACTTTGTGGATGATTATCAATGTGAAAAGGACAAGAGGAATACATTGTATTCATTATCCCGTGTTTTCAACTTTGGTACAAATTTGTATTGTGCTCCCCATCTCCAAATGTTAGTCATTTTTATTCCTCTACATGTAGAGAAGTTATTAAGTCTGTGTATTGCAAATGTTGTCCTCAACTTCCAGGACTGTAGGATTTTTGTCATGTTGTTGTGTAGCACTCAGCTCCCTATTGTTCCATCTGAAGTCTGTTTTCTCTTTCAAGTCTGTCAAAACACCACTGTGAGATCCACACGGATACAAAAGCAGTCAATCTGGTTTAGCTGAACTCCACTGAAAGGATCTGATTTCACACAATCTTTCAGTTCAGCTATAAGACAACACGGGCTCATGGGTCATTAAACACTAAAGTAACATAATACATTTAATGAAGTGTTTGATTTGATTAGAAGAAATGCACCAGAATCAATTAGGATCCTAAAAATATGTATTATTTTTTGTGTCCCAAGTCTTTACTAGTCGATTACATGTTCTCATTAGGTAGAGAGCCACTGATCAGCAGACAAATATATGAAGATACATTTGAAAACAAACATGGGATTCAGGGAGCTGAGCATCTTCAGTATAGGTTATTCACTCATTTCTACATGGTACACTGGCTGATGTGCAGATGTGTTTCCATTTGCACATAGTCAAACCTCAAACTGAAGGGACTTCCCAGATTACATTTACAGTTGTTTGTTTTCTTGTTAATCATGCTTCATTTTGTAACGGTATATATGTGAATATGTACATAGAGAAAACTATAAGAAACTGTTTTAACATGTGAAAATATCTTAAGTGAAATAAAAAAACGTGACGTAATTATAGTTTCTTTGTTTTTCATTAGCACCAGTGGTATTTATGTTGGGTCTTAAAATCCCGCTGACATCATTGTTATGAATGACACAATATTTTGGTACCGATAAAATCTCTCCTCTACATTTCCAGGTCTTTCCCAACCTCAATTCTCATCCCCCCTTTTCTCTGCCCTCTCCCACCTTTCATCCCTGGGTACACAACTTGCCCTGGCTTAGATTTCACAGTCTGAAAACCAAACATGAGTGGGGTACGATGAAGGAGTGGGTATACAGGATAGTGCAGCCAGAGAGGCCCACGAGCAAACTGACAACAGGGTGTGAAGGTGTCACTCTTGCCTCCTTGTTTACACTATTTTTTTCCCTCCTTTTTTCCCCTTTCTTGTACTGCTCTCTACACACTCTTGGATCTACACAGCGGTATGTTGGAATGAAGAGGAGCACAGTGCACTGACCTTCATACCTGCAAACCTCAGAGCTGACTGAAAACTGCCAAAAGTCACTGTCCCCTGTAAAACCACGCAAAATACACATTCAAATCCAGGAGTTAAACTGAGTTGTTGATATTTCTATACTCACGTCATAGTTTAAATTCACCGCAGATGATCACACAGCCTCTGAAATCTAACATTGATGTAATTGTATAGTTCTGTGCAGGTTAAAGCAGGAATTTCACTGCCCGATGAAACACACCAAACATTTTGGTTTTCACAGTACTGTCTCAATAATGTTTCATGATGTCATACAGCAATGTGCAGAGATTATGAAATGCAAACAGACTGTAACCCTAAGATGAACAAAAGTAAACAGTACAAGCCTCACAAATAAAAAACACCATCAAACTGGAGACAAAGAAGTAGCAACAATCCCTCGAATCAGAAATGTGTATATTTTCATACTTTTACGTTAATGTTGTATGTCAAATCTTAATTGGCACAATGTCTAACCACAGCAATCAGATGTTGCAGAAAATAAGAAATAATTCAGTATTTCCCTCTGCATAGGCGGACCAAAAGTAAAATACAATGAAATGCACTTCAAGTTGTACTTAAGAAAGATATTGGCAAATATACAGTTAGTTCTTCTAGAAAGCAAGAAACCACGTGTACTTAGGAAACATATTGAGATATTTCTACACAAAGTATAGACAAGACAAAGGGTCCATTTAGGAAAGAGCTTTAGATATTGCAATTACAGTCTATATTTTATTTACAATTTAATAACAGGAACCAGAGACAATAGTGCATCAATGTAGAAATGACAATAATCATTATAGGATAAAGTGAAAAATAAAATGTCAGATGCAAACTCTTTCTGTTAAAGCTAAAATAAAAATAAAGTGAAGAAGGGAACATTATACATTAAAGGTCAAGTTTGAGAGATTGTTAAAAATTGTCCTTTTTTAAACTCACCCACTTCTGCAGCTATGATGCTCGGCCTGAGTCGTCTGATCGAAAGGCCAATGGTTGTGGGGGAACAGAGGTAATTCTGGTAGTCCTGCATTTACAACACGCTGAGGTCAAAATCCATCAGCAGGATCAGTGAACCTTCAAAATTCTAATATCTGTCAAGTAATGATTTATTGCTGATCATATACACATATTCCTTAAAATGGTTTGGATTCGGTGAATATTACATGATTAATCTCAGTGTAGTTATATTTTATTATTTTTGACCAATTTAATTTCCTAATCCAAAATCTGAAGTGAAAAGTGTTTTTGGTGAATTGCATCGCTAATAAAACCATTATCCACTACAGGAAATCACCAAAATCATGCAAAAGTATATTTCTTCAAAGTATAAATATAGGATACAATTATTGTGTAAAGCTATTTCACTTCACTGAATGAAGTTATTGAATATTTTTGCAGTATTTATTTTCGGTGTTGCACTTTGTAGACGGTCCCTGAGCACTCGTCCCCAGTCCTGCTTCAGTAGAGATCAATGCAAGTTGTACAGCTCGAAGGACAGCCCGTATTAGCTTAGCCTTATTACTGTTTTAAAGAGACGTGGTTTGTGTTTTAAGAAGGTTTTGTTCTTTGATCGGTAAAGTTTGAATCCGTCTTTCTAACTTACTTCTACCGACTACTTTTTTCAACGTCATGACGACGCGTGTGCAAATGACATCGTTTCAACATCCTATTGGAGCAACCCTTCCCACATGCTTCATCGCACAGCCAATCAGAGCGCAGAAACACTGAGCACACTGATTGCAAACACGGAAATACACAGTGAGATAAGCAGATCGTCCGCGTAGTTATATTCTATCTTTTATTGCAACCAATTTAAGCACTAGTTAATAAAAGCATACCTTGCTCGTAAAACACACAACCAGGTAGACTGTTAGAGTCTTTTTCTCTCCTTCTATGGATTTAATGCCGCTTCTGTCATGGGCCTGCATCGTGTTTACAGTCGGGATGTTCTCGACTGGACTGTAAGTTAAATTGCTGACTAATGTAATCTTGTATAGCACATTTTCCATTCTCGTGTTTATGCTACTTTATTGGTTTGAAGGACACATTAGTGCATTAAAAATAATTGTTTGAACCCATGTTATCCACAGTGGTGTTAACTTGTAAAATAAACGTTACTCTGTCTCTCTGTCTCTCTGTCTCTCTGTCTCTGCCTACGTCTGTGCGTGTATTTAGGACCGACCTGAAGAAGATGAGAGAAACCAAGAGTGCAGACAACATCCAGTTTCTACCTTTCCTTTTCACATGTCTTAAGTGAGTGTGTGTGTGCGTGTATGTGTATGTATATGTGAGTGTGTGTGTAGTATTGTTGTCCTGCTGTCCCGGTCATCACATCTGATGCCCATCATGTTTCCACAGTAACCTGGGCTGGTTGTATTATGGGCTTCTGAAGAAAGATCAGACGATTGTCTTCGTCAACGTTATCGGAGCTCTTCTCCAGATCCTCTACATTATCGTGTACCTCCACTACACAACACAAAAGGTGAGCCAATAAGGGTAGACGGATGCCACTCAGTGCGGTTCCAACTATTATTAAATTGGCACAATCCTGTCTCACATCAACTCTGTGTTTTTTGTGTGTTCATGTCAGAGGCTGGTGACGTCCCAGACTGTAGCAGCAGGGACGGTGCTGGCGTGCGGTTGGTTCTACTTCACCATGTTTCTTCCTGAAGGAGACTCTCAGCTCAGCCAGCTCGGCCTCACCTGCAGCGTGATCACTGTCAGCATGTACATGTCCCCACTCACTGACCTGGTACATGCTCACACGCATTACAAACAAACACAACACGCACAGTGAATGCTCACAGTCAAATGAAGATATGAGGAGATTAAAAAGTATCCTATTTTTAGAAATATGCAATACCCACTGGTGGTCATTTACAGAAATACTTTATTTAGGTAAAATGTTGAGGTAATTGTCCTTTACTTAAGTATTTCCATTTTCTGATTATGTATACGTCTCCTCTTCTACATTTCATAGGCACATATTTTACTTTTTACTCCATTAAGGGCATAAAAATAAGGGTAGACTTAAATGTTCACTGGAGGAAGGGTATATATATATGTATATATATATATATATATATATATATATATAAACTAATTAAAATTAGCTTCACCTTCGGCAGCTGCAACCTTAAAGTAGAGAACACTTTAATAGATCAATTATTGCATTCCAGTAAGATGATGTATCACTCTGAAATGGTCCATTCTGCATCATCAAGATTTGTACTTATGGTGCTTTAAGTATATTTTGGTGACAATACTTTTGTACTATTCGATGATAATGCTACTTTTAGTCAAATGTTTGAGTAGACCTACTTTCACCTCTGCTACCAATATGCAAAGTATCACAGGGACAGACAGTTGCCCGATAAATACACTTTCAAATCTTCCGTCTTTTGAACAAAATCTATAAAATGCCAAGATGAAAATGTAATGCTGCTAAGTTTTTTTTTATCACTCTTAATTGCTTGTTCTGTTGTGCAAATCTAGAAAGTATAAATAATCACTTAATACTTTATCAACAAACCAGTTATGATATACATACATAGGATTGCTCTTCATGTAGTGAAAAAGCAAACAAGATAGTCTTTTGATTTGATCATATGCGTTCCCTTATTAGTGTCATATCTTGTTTGGATGGCACTCTTTTTTTAATTATAATAACTCTATGAGTTATTTATCAAAATTATGTTGAAAGAGTTTAAGAAATGAGCTTAGTGAATTATTGCACAGCCCAAAGTGTAGGCAGTCATTCATGTTACTAGTAAATTCTGTGTTTCCGCCCCTTAAAACCTGTCAAATGACAGCTGGTTTCATGTCTAAGTGTAGCTTTAGGTGGATTTATGTTGTTCCTGTACAGGAGCGCTAATGATGAAATAGAGAAAAGTGGCGCCCAGGGCTTTATAATGATTCTACTGTACAAAGTTTACATATTTTACCTCCAAAGAGATGAAACCGTCACTGAAAAAGAATGCATCCTGTGAAACCTGCAAATTAAGTTTTTAGGCAGGATGTTATTCTTAACCACTTAGTGTGTTCTTAAAGTGTTTTTGTATGTGTCACAGTGCATACACAATTAACAATATTCACTTCAACAACACAACTGTAAAAAACACATGTAGTTTTATTTTTTTACCATGTACCTATACTGAACCTCTGCACAGACAACAGGCAGCATCTGTCCATATCAGTGTCTAAGTATCTGACCTCTTTCAGGTAAACTCTACTTATATATATATTATACTTAGATATTTACCAGTGAAGGGATAAGTCCCCTGAGGCCTGTACTACGAAGCCAGATTTTCCTAACCTGGATATGTTTGAGTTAGCCGGTTGGCCCAATCCAAAACATACGCGCTCTGGCTAAACTGTACTACGACGCTGGTTATCAAGTGGATCGCTCAAGCCAGCCGTGTCCTATCTAGTTAGGTGCGCGTTCACATGAAAGGGGTGGTATTTGGAGCATTCGACCAATCTCAAACATGGACAAGCGTACTGACAGCGCAGCGTCATACTTCCTGAATGAAAAGTGAACTTTAATATTAGTCAAATATGAAGAAGTTAAACTTTAAACATCCATGACTTAAACACTTTATCCAGGATAAAAGCCACATAGCTGCACCTGCAAGGTGAATACAGCTGGTAAAAGAAAAAGCGTTTGAATGCGTACATTAACAGGTTTATGAAATCACTGCCCCGTCCAAGACACGAGTGGATCTGACTTTAATTAGGAGAATTTGACTCGAGTGTTTCGTCAACTTAATGTGTTGCTTAAAATAATACTTCTGCATACAGTATGTGACACTGTGAGTGTTGCACGGCCAGATACGGCTCAAGAAGCTGACTCAAATATATGATACATTATGATGTGATATGATATGAATGATAATGGGACACATCGACGTCTGCACTCACAGTGCCGCGGACTGTACTTAATGTTACTCTGATCCGGTTACTTATGTTGTGGCAGATATTTAAGTAAGCTTTCTTAACGCTAATATTATAATAGTCAGATTGCTCTGAAGATGGGAGGGGATATTCTATTAATTTTCACGTTCACACAGTCAGTTGATTTTGGCCGGCCGTCTTTCCTGCAACGGCAGTTTTTCTGTATTTCCTCTATCCTGTAATATGAATTGATCGCTTTAAACTCCGCACACGGAGTTCTGATTGGTCAGCAGGCGGTGCTTTCACTGAGTTGATCTCTTAGCCTGCAACCTAACCTCCTCCCGAGGAGGTTAGCCGCTCAGCATAAGTTACCATGGAGATCTAGCCCGCTAAAAAGAGAACCAGCGTCGTAGGACCGGAAAGCCCGAGTTTTCCCTGAAGTCAGCCGGCTAAGCGAAAATCCAGCTTCGTAGTACAGGCCTCTGGTCTCTCTCTTTCCTTTGTCTCGTTGTGTCATCTTGTCGCTCCGTCCACTATCCTGTTTGTCTCCTTCCCTCCATCTGCTTCAGAGCACTGAATGACCCTCAGTCAGTTTCCTGCCTTTCTTTTTCTCATCTGCGTCTTCCTGTTATTCTCTGTCTCTATCTGTTTGGGCCTTATCCCCTCGGTTACATTATGGTGTCTCCTTACATCGTACATAATCTTTTTGTTTGCTCTTATTAGCCCCTGTTTGTCACTGCGAATCATATCTTTCACATTACAGAGTTATTTGATCAATATAAAACACTTTAATTACAGCAACTGTAACGTTTTTATTTGTTAAGTTATTGTTATCTCTTTCCCACCTCCCTTTCAGGTAGAGATAGTGCGTAGTCGTGATGTTCAGCGCTTGTCCTTCCCTCTGACTGTCGCCACCTTCTTCACTTCAACCTCCTGGGTCCTGTACGGCCTCCAGCTACACGACCAATATATTTGGGTATGACACAGTGAATATGCACACAAATCACACCTGGTAACACACCTTTTAAAACTGAAATTAAATGTAAGTCAAATGAAAGCTATGGTTTCCTAAATGTTCTTCCTGTTTGTGTTCATTGCAGGTTCCAAACACGCCTGGGATCTTCACCAGCCTCATCAGATTGTATCTATTTTGGAGATTTGCGGCTGTCAATCAAAGCTCACCTGCTTATAGGTCCATGTAGAGATGAGAAAATGAGGGGGGGAAGTAATAAAAACGAAAAATATCTGTTTACTCCATGAAGTGCTGCAGCGAAGACCCCTGCCCATCACCTGTCTTGTACTTTTAATCATACAGAGAGATATTAACTGTTAATGGGTGAGCACTGTTGAAGTGGAGACAGTTTTGTGTGTTCGTTACCTTTTTGGGGAGGTGTTCACAAATAATGATGTGATGGTCTGGTTCAACAGTTTTTTGTCTGCAACTATTTGTTAATCATGTCTCCTTCAAGTGCCTTATGTGAGATCCTGTTTGCCATTAAATATGAATGGCATTTACTGATCTCCCAACATGCCAGGAGACTTGCAATCTGTTCCCAATCCGGTGAATGTGACTCACCTCCTACTAGCCAAAGATGTGGAGTTGAAACTTGCTGGCTGCTATTTTAATATCATATTGTGCTCTGTTCCCTGGTACTCATGTATGGAATAATATAGTATATTAATATTATTCCCTGGTGATGCAATGAAGGTTTCATATCCTTTTAGATTCGGTACTCTCGCTTTTGTATCCTGGTGCAGACACATATATTGAGTTATCAGTAGCAGTAAGTTATATTTGTTATTTCTATTATATATTTCATGTCAGAGTCTTTCTGTTACATAATGTGTATGTTGGATTATGTCCACGACAAAATATTGTCTACTTTTATTGGTAATGCTATTTTTATAAGCTATTTGTATATGAGATTACAAATACAGTAAAAAAATAAATAACACCATAGTGTTTGTTTAAAAGAATGAATAATGTTTATTTCTCTCGTGGCTGACTGTCGTGGGTAATGGAGTCTTGCTTGTCTCCTCATTATAATCTGTAATATGGACATGTTATGCAAATGAAACAGCCGGTTGTCAGCGCTGATTCACACTTCTAAAGTTTGTAAGATCTTTAAATGGTGCCATGTTAATACATTTTTACCTAAACTATCAATGACTTTTGTTTCCTATTGCTTGTTTAGTTGTGAACATGAATGTTATTTTGGCCCAGCAAAGTGAGAAAGCTGCACTTGACCCTTTGAAGTAGGAAGATTTGTGCTGTTGGTTTTGTTTTGAACGCAGTAATGAGCTTATACATGCAGATGTGTGGAGATAAGCGTGTGTGTGTGTGTGTGTGAGAGAGAGAGAGAGAGAGAGAGAGAGAGAGAGAGAGATTGGTGGTTGTTGAACAAGAAGAGACAAAAGCCTGTTTGATGGTGCAGCAGTGTGAATGAGCTTGTTTGTGTGAGTATGTTGATACAGAGAGGGCAGTGGTGGGAAAGGCCATGCCAGAGGTTCTCATCGTGTGTGTGTGTGTGTGTGTGTGTGTGTGTGTGTGACATTGGCCTCTCTTCCTGAGCCCAAAGAGCCTGCCCCTGACAGAGAACACAGACACAACACTGTATTGTGCTGGAGTTGAGTGTTATGTAGAAGAACTAGGCTAAACGTCCTGGAAGTTGGAGATAAATGAGCTAGAGTTGAAAGAGAAAACAAGAAAAAAAGGGGGGAAACTTTTGAGCAGACGATGAGGAAGTAGAAGGGAAGAATGTGTAAATGAGACAGCGGTAGAAACGGTAAAACCTGGGACAAGAAGAAAATAATATCCAGGAGAAATATAGGTTTGGCTTTTTGTATTGTTCTGGTGTAACATGACAGAAGTTTATTTAAACAAAAGACTACAGTCATGCTAGTGGTTAGCTGGGCTAGGCTGTATTTAAGGTACAATTATGATGTGAGCTAAATACTAGCAACAACATAATTCTCAGCAGGTCAATGCTAACATGCTGTTGTGGTTAAATGTTTACAATGTTGACTGCTGGAATTGAGCATGTTAGCATGCTGACATACTAATTGGCACTTAGCAAAAGGTGAAGCTGATGGTAATGTCATGAGCTTATCAAGTGTTCGATCATAAACAACAATATTGAACACATTTCAATGTTGACTTGATAAAGGATCTGGATTAAATGTCAGAAATAAACAGGTGAACAGAATACAGGTCATCCTGAGACAGACCACATTTTTCTTTTAATTCATGAACATTTGTCAATACATTTCCCTTTTGGTGGAACTCGAGTAAAGTCAGAGGATCCCCAAAGTCAGTAGAATACGTCCTCTGTGTGTTTAACAATCCAACCAGTAAACTAGGTGTTCACTAGATGTAGATATGTCACTGGATAAGGGAATTTTATGGATTTGGCTTGTTCTCTTGTAAAAAATATGATCAAAGTTGTATTTATTTTTTGTTAAAGTAAAGAATGGGAATAGCACAGTGCACATGAGTGACTCATTAGGTCTGATAAAGTGGATGCCTTGTAAATAGACATTAGTCTTATATGAGGAAAGACTAAATTGGGGGAAGTTTAGCGGTAAGAAAATAAAAATTATTGAATCATGAGTCCAGGACAAGATAAGGGAGTATTGGGTGTTGTCCATTATTTTACTGAAAGAGACAGACATGAATAGGGTTGGAGGGACAATGCATGGAGTCAGATAGACTGGCCGGACACACCCATCATTCCCAACTATGGTTTGTAAAGAGACAACGTGTTAAATGCTAAGCAGGAAATCAAAGCACGGTCCTTACCCTGATGTGTACACATCTTTGTTCATCAGCCAAATAGTAACATCGGGCCAGTGTTTTGTACATGAGTCTGTGTGGAGGAGTAGGGGGTGAGGGGGGTGGTCAATCAGCCGAACAATGAGTTCAACTCACAAACAGGATCCCTCTGTTTCCTGAAGTAGAGACTGTCTCCTCAAACAGCACACACTGACTCTTGTACTTCTGCACACATCCCTAAAGGCTGTGTATGTACACTACGTTGTCTCTTACAGACACACCCACAATCTCTCCCCCACAAACACCATGTGTGCATTCAGATGTCTATTTGTGCTCATTATGGGCAAATTCTGATCTATGGGTTTTGTTTCCTCCGTAATTACAGACAACAAAGTCTCTGCTAACGTGCAGTCTGCAGACAGTGTGCATACTCAGCATATAAACACACAGGATACACACAGCACTCTTGGGGGCAGTCAGCAGCCTGTGCACTTTCTACCATCAGTAAAAACACACCTGTCCCAGCTGCTGTTTACGAAGAGAACAAGAGGGAAAGAAGGAATGTGCTTCCCTCAGTTTTCCTGTCAGACCCTCACCCTTCCCAGCCATTCCCATTGCTCCTCCTCTCTTCAATGTCTTATCTAATTATTCCCTTGGTCAGCTCCTGTTCTCGAACACTGTCATATCTTTTATTTATCTATATTTCCTAAATCATATCTCTTCTCATATCTTCTTTTACCCTCTCGTTCTCTCTATCAGATTCCCCTTTTAACTTTCATTCCTCTCAAATGACTCGGTGGCCCCTCCATTCTTCTCCTACACTTGTGAAATAGTCACACATCATGTTTGTACTCAGATCATCTGCAGTGATGATCAGGTCTGTCTTGTGAACCTGTCAGCCAGTCTGAGATGGATGTAGATTCAATAAGCAGAGCACAAGCTTTCTCAAGCAGGAACTATTTCAATTCAAGTCCCCAATAAACATTCACACTGAAGCTTTCTCTAAGGCCTTTTTACCGGTGTACATGTCTGTGCAGGCACCACCTTGTTTGTAAAAGCAGTTGCTGCTGTAGCTATATTTATGTGCAGTGTAGCAAGTTGTTTTCTATTCCCAGTTTTACCAGCTCTCCCATCTTAGTTTACAGCATGTTCCCCTTCAGAGCCTGGTGGTTGCACAGCTGACATGCACACTAACACACACCTTTTTTTTAATACACACAACAATTTCAAACATGTGACTTTTCAGCTCTTTTACTATTAACAGTTGTTGCTGTTAGACCTTTGCTCTGTACGGAAATAGATTTAAAGGCAGCCCTCCGGTGTGTCCTAAGTAGTATATTGTGTGGTTCAGTATGTCCTGTCTCTGTCTTCTATTCCTCCTCCTTCCTCTTCTTCCTCCTCCCTCTGCGTCTGCCGCCCTTCAGAATGGGAACAGTGAGTGGAGTGATATGTGGACAGCTAGTAATTAAGCTGTCAGAGACGGGCTATGGACCAAAACACTGTCAGCACGGATGAACATACACATTTCACCTTTGATATAAATCATTTGTCAGGTATCCTCCTATCAGCGGTTCAATAACTGCGCTTGGCACTACTGGACGCAACAACAGCATTGAATGTTACAAGCTCCAAGTTTCATTTAACTGGCTTCAAAAGTTATATTTGCATTCAAATCACAAACTTCTTCTTACTCTTGTTGTGTGCTATAAATCATGTTGTACTTGCATAATGAAAACAGTCACAAAGCAGGTTACAGTTTCCAAAAATATAGTTAACCATCAAAGCTAACAGGTGGTTCCGAATGGTTAAGGACTTTATGGAAAGTTAATGTCTTTCCAGTCTAAAAATGACACACACACTCACCCATAAATACTCACGAAGCCTGAGGGGATTTGGTCCTGTCTGAGCATGCTTTTTACTTTGGCATCCATCCAAAACACACACATGCTGCAGATTTGTGTTTGTATGTTTTTGAGTGGCAACTATGTAAGGTGGAGGTGCAGTGACACACAGAAATGTGTTTGGTGTTGCAACCTCCACAAGCCTCAGTGAGCGGTGGAGATCCATTTTGTTTGACGGTTGTACTGACAGAAAAAGTGTAGACCATAGTTGGAACTTGTACATTGACTTGGGGGATGAAATGTTGTGGAGAAGTGAGTGTCTGGGTGTGTGTGCAGAACACACATGTCCACTGTGATGTGCAGAGGTGCTGAGGAAAGACAGGAGACACAGCTGTTCAGGGGACTTGGAGTCTGTGCTTCTTGCATTAGCAAACATTTTTGCAGCTTCCTGCACTGTATGCACATTTAAAAGTTTGCTACATCTCATTGTGTGTGGGACTTATTCTGCATGGCAGCATTTTGGCTTCATTTCACTCGAACACATACAAAAAACATTGTTGGCTATTCAAATATAGTGGTTTAATCCCAGGTAATGACTTAAAACAGACAATCTCAGCCAGTGACAGTAGATTTTCCATTACAAAATTACATATAAATGTTCATGGTAGATATATGAAATATATTGAAGCAGCATAGGTAAAAATAACTTTATTTCACTATCATCTGTATTCTTCTGAAGCACCAGGTTTTCCCCGTTATTGGTAGCCTACATACTGTACTTTATTTGCTTATTCATCTTATCTTCTGACCATCTTGTTCATCATTAGAAAATATATAAACACATCGATTGAATCATCTTACAAGGACCATGGCATTACACAACATACTTCATGTTGGGTGAAACTGAAGTCAACACGCTTGCGTGCAAACACTGGCTTAACTTTTATAGGGAGGAGTCTTGTCAGGTAAACAAGTGTAAACTAAACTGAGCTGTAGCTAAGTAATGATGCAACCACCAAAACCCTGAGGAGTTGGATTTAGGACTAAAGAGAGGGAACACAAATGTTTTATTTTGATTGGCACATCTTGGGGTTTGAGAGTAAAATCAGGGTCCAATATGGAGTTAATGTCGTTTTTGTTCTACAGTATAGGAGGTGCTATGGTATGTCAATGCTTTCACGTGGCTGTAAATGCAATATACATGGAGCGTGATTATATGACCCTCCCCAAGTTCATTTTCTCAATAGACAGATGAAAATGAACAGAAGCACCAAGCACGTGTACATAGAAATGAATGCTGAGTGATATAGCCTACATTGTCAGATACCCATATAAATAGGTAGCCTACATATAATAGTGGAAAGAGGAACGAGGGGAGTGAGATAAATATTCATCCAGGTGTGACACAATGAATAGCAAGGATTAGCCCAGAGGAAACAAACAGAAGCCGAGTGTCTTAATTTATATCTGACCTGTCATCACAAATGTGTGACCAGACAAGTCGGTGTTGACACATCATGCGTGATGCACCTGTTGCTGACTAACCTTTTTCCA